AGATCTATAGAACGGAGTTTCAGACTTTCTCATTCATTGGTGCCCATACTGCTGGGACATTATGATTTATGATACTGGTACTTGGCAATTGGTGCCGATCGTTCTGGTTTGCAGAGCGCGTTCAGCTACATGGTTCCAGGCCTACCAGAAGTTGGTCAGCTAGAGCTGCACTATGCTGATCTATGCTGCGAGCGGACAGAACAGCGAATGCCGATGCTCCGGGGACCGACGTGGCCAGGGTCGTGTGGAATGGCTGACAGTGTTCGCCGGGAAGACGTATATCACATATACCTAGAGCTTCCGAAGAGCATTTATAAATGCTCGTTTCAAAGAACGCTCGTTCTAACACATAACGCTCGTTTCCCATAAAAACGCTCGATCTCTGAAACACTGCCCTGAACCACTCATCCCCGGGACCATGCCTTCCACCCGCCACATCTCGATTAGTGCGCAGTGCACCTTTACAGCTCCAACGTCGACTTCACAGAGTCCAGAGTCCGCGCGGCACTCAGTGCGGCCGGTGATCCAGGATGATCCCATCCCGAATGGCCTTGTCCCACTCGGCTTTGTACTGTATGAGACATCGCCGAATTGTGGAGTATGCAAGGTTTGCCACATGGCATTTTCTTGACAACCTACTGACTCGTCCTATGTAATCCTCATCTGCCCAGCAGCTTGTGCCTCAATAACTTTAGACTTTAGACATTAGATCATGTTTTCTTTCATGCAGGAACGGTGTTCTAAGCTTCCAGCACTGGGGATTGAAGACATATTCGACTTGGTGATCCAATTGCTCTTGCATCTCCAACCTTGAGACAGAAAAAAACGATGCGGCGGCGTCACAACAATTGTTCCACCAAAGAATGCGGTGTTTTTTTCAGCCAGAGAGCACCACATGTGCCAACATGTGGCACTTGGGACGGATGTACCACAGGGCCAGGCCAGCTTCCCAGCTCAGCCGGGCCAAAGCCCCATAGCATTCCTGAAACAGGAAAATCCTTTTGGTACCATCGGTTATGCATGGCACAGTGTTCAGCACTAGTGCAAGGGAGTGGCCAACAAAATCCAGCCATGTTGAACTGCTTGCTCACCCTCATGAGCGGTCAGCCAAATCTTCCCACAATAAATGATCTTGAAGAACTGCGAAACGGATGCGTGACCCCACTTCAACACCTTGAAGATGTTCTGGTACTCTTCCTGGGGCAGTGTGTCATTAGTTTTGGGAAGATGGTCCATGGTCCAACTACAAGGGAGTCAACAAGGGCCCAACTACATCTCAACCCCTGTTGGCCATGTTAGCCCAGAGTCAGGGACTTGGTTCTCATCCATCCCCTCCAAGACCGTCGCGATCCACTTGCTTACCAAGGCCGCATCACTGCCTTTTCCGAGACCCCGAGGATACTGCTGAAGCCTCAGCGAGATGGACATCGATCAAGTCAGGAGCGGAAAGGTTCAAGGGTTTGGTCCATAGAGGAAAGGTGCATTAGTTCAAACCGCGAACCTCTAAGTGTTGTAAGGAACGAAGTGATCTTCAGCTCCTCTTTCGAGAACTCTTTGATGCTGGACACCTTCTTATTGGACACACACCAGCGAGAGAAATCTTCAAAGGCCCGATCCAAGAGTAGCTCCCATGCACCGGCGCCAAAATGCCGGCAATGTACAGCAATGAAAACCAGCCCTGAAGCCAGGTAGTCTTTGCCACACCCGGCAATGGACCAGGTGTGAGCCAGATCAATTTTGATCTTTTCCGTCGAACCAGAGGGGGCTAAACCACGAAGTGCGGCCAGGGGTCCACGATGAAAAGGGTCTCCAACAGATCTACTATTTGCTCCAGGGTTTGTACGCAATGGGCCAGTAGTGGTGAAATCGTGCCAATCCTAGGCTGCAGCCACACAGTAACCAATTACCGATCCCCACAAAGCATTAGCAACAAACCCTCCAAAAAGAAAATATGCATACTTAATCCGTGTGTCTTCAAAGTCACATTTATGGCACAGTCTCTTCGAAGAGAATCCTGCCCAAAGCTTCCATGCTGATCTCAGGAACGGCCAATCGCCTTTTGTCCCGAGGCACTGCAGGTAAAATCTCTGACAAATGCCTCCAAAAGTGACCTCCAGGAACCAGGGGTGTGTGCACACACATGAAATGGAGCAGCGTGCAAAGATTCTTTGCAAAAACTTTGGGAAACTTTGGGAAACTCATGCAACCTCAACCCCATGGTGGTAGAGCTCATTGGCGTCAGCAACAAAGGCCGCCATAAGGCCTTGAGTAGAAGCGCCTTCTGCTGCATAGCGCTCCCTGGGAATCAGGCTGTACAGGAGGCGAGTGGTGAATGTGTGCCTCGGCTGGCAACAAACATTGGAGGCCGAAAGAATACCCACAGAACCTTGACGCACAAAAACAATCAAAGTCTATCATAAAGCATGCATGGGTCTTCTTGCTGTTGGCGTTGTCATCACTTGTCCAGCCAAAAACGGGTTGTGCAGACACTACCAGAACTGGCCTCTTGCAATAACCTCGGCCCTCATCTCCATGCACGTAGAACGGTATCGTGAGATCTGGCCGTTCTGGAAACACAAAATTAGGCTCCACGCCCCGGTAGCGGCTCCAGAAGCGAGACAACGTTTTCTTTACCTCATCCAACTCGGTCAGCCTTTGACCTGCTAAGAAAAAGAATCCTCCATAGGGCTCTTGAAATGCAACCTTGAACCAACTGGATAGATATATGACAGGCCAAGGCCGCCCCTGGTCAGTCTTGCGCCGCGCTGAAGAACGAACAGGAATGGGCACCTTGTGGATCTCAACAGGAAGAGTTTTGTTGTTCCTCTGCACCCATCGATACATGTTGCGACTTGCGTTCGACCATAACGGTCATAGGAGGTGCTCCCAGCTATGTCGGAAATCTTTTCATCATAGACTCCTGAGTTTGACAACCCCCCAGAATCATGTGGCTATACTGGTTGGTGTTCGGGTGTTGTCTTTTGTGGATTGAAAACCGGTCTGCAAAGGTAAAGTCTGCTATGCCCATGCTTCATCCATGAATAGTGGAAGGCAAGACTCCATGTTTTGCAAGTAGCTTCTGGGTTTTGCGCACTTTTCGCATCACATGCTTGGCAGGTTCCTTAGATCAAAATCGATCTATATTTCCACAGGTGTTGTAACTGCACAGTGCATAAGGCTTATAATTGAGCCCCAGCGGCGCCATTGCCGAAGACATCAACCAGCGCATCGTCCAGGTCGCTCTCATCCGACTCCGCCTCTTCACCTTGAGCGTGGTCGGGGTGGCCAGGCTTAAGGGTCAGAGTCGGAATGCTTCCCACGCAGGTTTTCACACAGATGTATACGGCCAAGGCACCTCTCCGGAGCATGTCATCTCGGTGACCTGGCAAGGGCCCTCTAAAGATCATTTTCAATAAGTGTCTTGGGTGTCCAAGACACTGCATAGTTGACACACCATGTGCAGTGGAACCAACACAATTCTTAAGAAGCTAGTGGCTATAGTGAATGCTCTAAGGTCTAGTTGAATCTTTTCCCACGCATTGCGATCTCCACGTACAAGGCACACCCTTGAACCCCAATTTGTACTGTCCCAAATTGAACAGCACTTGCTAATGGCCTGATGTGTTATCACACACCTGGCAATGCATGGAAAAGCTAAGACAACGAACTAGTCTTTCGACTTTCTCTGTGGCTTCTTCTTAGTGCCGGCAGCTTTTGCCTTGGGCACCTTTGGTGCCTTCCCCGACGATGGAGCTACTGAGGTAGCCTTGACTGGCCTGAGCGCATGAGCACATGGCGTTGGAAGCAGGACTGATATATGTCGATTGTACTGCACCTGTATCCCAATGTTTCTATGCACGCATGAATTGCAATCCATGGACTTGCAGCGAGCCAACACAGCATTCAGAGCCACATCATGCTTAGTGCATTCGACGAAGAGCCTCTGGATACTGGACCGATCAGTCCTAAGCCGGCAGAAGCATTCTTGAAGTGTTTGGCAATGGATCGAAACATGCAATAGCTTGGCCTCAAGTTTGTTCCCCTCAAGATTATATAAAATTATATCAGAGGGACTCAGAAACTCCATCAGGGGCCACCGTGGCTTCGGACAAATGGTTGGCAAGTTTGTCATACCTCGCGTGCATCTCCTTCAGGATCTTCTCTAACTGCCCCTTCAGCCTCAGGCGGGGGCCCGGCAAAGGTGGAAGGATCAAGGGAAGGAGTACAGTTGAAGAGTTTCGCAACTCTCCAAAAAAGGTTGGTCTGTTTGAACACCTAGCAACTCAGCCGCAATGGTGTTGGCTTTGATGGTGCCCAGTCGATCCTTCGGAAATCAAGTGCGGATTTGGAAAGAGATCATTTGCTACATGGGTTAGTTGATCAACTTCAATTGAGTACCGAGAGATGTATATATTCCAGCGAGGGTCCATTTCTGCTCGAATCTTGTCAACTTTCTTGCCAAGCACTTCCACAAATTGCGGTAGCACTTGAAGTGGTGTTGTCGTCGAAGTTACACATGGAAAAGTGAGCCTGGGCACATGGTTTACGTGACCACAACGATTGAATATACCATGGACTTTGGTTGCTTCAAGTTTTTCAAGTTCTTTCAAGTACTGGTATCAAAGAAACTTGAAGCTCATGAGGCTGCTCGAAAGTGCAGTACTTCCTTCTTTGGTACCAGGTTTAGCCCCCGATCCACGAGGCAAATCACCAACGTCCGCACCAATATCAGGAAGCTCTGAGTCAAGCAAGGTACCCTCTTCATCCTGGGCTTGGCGTTGCCCTGCCCTTCCAACGTCGAAGTTTAACTTCAACATGGTGTAATGTCGATGTATTACTTTCATAAAAAGTTACGTCGATGTTTTACCTTTTGACATGTGGCAGGAAGAAAGGATCTTTTGGGTGTTCATATCAGGCATTGAAGTAAAGCTTCGACATTGAAAGGCACGTGAATCACAGTGAAAGCCTTGAGAGGTCCCAAATTGAGATGGTTTATTCATGTTTATTCGCACTTTTTCTTCACTGTCTCCGGTTGGAGGTCTTTGGTAAACGCCAGGTTAGCGTTTTGAACTGCATGCGGGCCATGCGAATCAAAGACCGCTCTCGGTTTCGAGAGTCTGCTTTCTTACACCAGGCTTTCAAAACTCTCATAGAGTCTTCATCACAGAACGTATGGGTGAAACGAGGGTTAAGACCTCAGCTGGCCCAAAGAATGGAATGAGGGATTTCATGGCATTTAGGATTGCATACACCGCAACATTTCTAACAAAATCAATATTTGCTGCCAGTTCACGTTTTCCCTTCACATCGTCATGAAGGACGTGCGCCAGTGACTTGGTTGGCTCATTAAGCATCCAATCCAAGTTCCCAATCCCAATCTTTCAAGAGCATGAAACTGCATTGTGTGTCTTTCTAATTGTTCAAAGGCACGTGCCACTTTGGCACCATGATCCAGGCTAGCTTTGAAGCCCTCCCAAGAACCGATTCAGATTCAACAACAAGCGAGCAAAAACATTGGCTTAGATTCATTCAGGTCTTTTGGACTGAGGGACTGATTTTCGACTGTGATTCACATGCCTATTTTAATGTCAAAGCCTTACTTCAATGCCTCTAGAGCCCAAAAGATCCATTCTTCCTGCCACATGTAATTTCTGCTTCAAAGCAACACATCGACATTTCCCCATGTTGAAATAAAACTTCGACGTTGGAGGGGCAGGGTGCAGAGCAGTGGCATCCCGGCCTGACACTCATGATATTCAATCGTTTATATCCCAGCAGAAAAGCCTTGCCAGCTTGTTCGATGCTGGATGCCTCATCCCCACTCCTCAGCTGATCGATACGTGCTGGACACCGTTCCAGACCCAAATTGTTGACCGATGTGTGTTCAAGCTCGATCAAGATTGTTCCAGTCCAGGTCGGAAAGTGGGTTTTGGAACTTAGTGGGACAAAAGTTCATGCGGTGGACGTTTATGCCCCCTATGCAGAAACATGGATCCATGGGTTTTCCCTGCATATTACACTGGTGTGCACCTGAAACTGCAGGGCCCTTAGCAACAACACCATTATGGCCAACACCCAGCACCCCCTTTCAGAGCGATGCAGAGCAATGCTGGACAAGAAGCAATGCCCTCGAGGCCCGCTCTGTGAGTCCGAAATAGCGGGTGATTGCGCGCCTCGGGGTGAGCGGAGGAATGGGAAGGGAAATCCCTAGCAGCCCTTCTGAGAGGTTGTGGGGGGCCTTTGCACAAAGCCTGAATAGGCGGTTCGATTTGGGTCGTACAATTCTTAGTCACACATTTTGCAAAGGTATGGGTCAAAACTTTGTACCCTCCAAGCCCCCCAAAATGTGCAGAGTGTTTGCCCTATCAGGTTCAATTCAGTGTGTTTACCCTTGTTACTCGAGAAATCACAAGAAAAGTACATACTGCACTGAACAGAGCGAGGGTCATTGTAGCCTCACACATCTTGGATCTTTCATCACGTGCACTAAAAGCCGGCGAACCATTGACATCGATGCATCGCTGTGTGAGCCACTCTGCAACCAGCCTTGCGTTGAAACCTTTACAATTGAGGTAAAATCCGTAAGAAGTATCCCGAACCAAGGACTTGACTGAGAAACGTTTTTGCGATGACTGCACTTTGCGTTGCCGGCAAAATGCCAAGAAATCTTCGTAGGCCATGTTCAAGGCATCAGTGTAACCATTAGCAACACTTCCGAAGAACTGGAGGTCAAGGAGCATCCCCCTGCAAGGGCTCAAATCTTGTGGAACACGTGTCCCATTTGCCCAAACTAGTCAAACATGCGTATCAGGGGTTCCTGTTCAACACGTTTTCTTAAATATTAAACATAGGCAAGTTGCAAGCAAGAGCCGTTAGCAACTCCAAGTAATTTCAAATTGACGATATGGAGGGTGCAGTGTTTGATAAGCGAGATGTTGAAATAGTAGGCATCAATAAGAGGGCCTTGGTTGAACCACCTCCCATAAAACCAACCGCCGGCTATCAAAGCACTCTAAAATCAAGGCCTTGAATTGATGTGGGTTCTTTGAAAATGTTTGTTCTAACCAAAAAATTGCAAATAATTACTAAGAAACAGCGGTCTTCCTCTTGCATGGGCATTTCCTCCCGGAGAAACTGATCTGTTGTCCGGTAGCCCCAGCCAGAGTTGTCGTATTGAGTGTAGCACAAATTTGTTCCGGGCCGGTCTGCACGAACATGGCATCTAAAACACACATTGTTTGCCTTCCACCATGAGGCGTGTTTGAATAAAAATTTGTGAAACACTTGGTCTCCACGGATTTCTGCAAGAAGAAATCGCCGTCCAAGGATCCCATGTTCTGCAAGACGATTGAAAGAATCCACAATAATCTTGAGGGCTGGGAAAACACTTTGACGAGCTGACACCAATTTGTTCGTCTCCAGGGCAAACAATAAGTATCTGCTTAGTCTTGTTGCGCGTGGCCGAAACAAAGGCATATTCATGTACAGGCCGAAGATTTTGTTGGTGGGATCAGCCTGCAGACCTATCACAGCTTCATCACCATATATGCCAATCGGCCATACCAGCCCTGAATGCCGGCGAAAGTCAGCAGTTGACTTGGCCCACTCATCCCCCATGTGGTCTAGATGCGCCCAGTATCCTCTCACCAAATTGTCGTCCAGTGAAAATTTGCACGCGCTCATTAAATGATGAACGATCCTCTCCGGAAGGAACACGGGCATTGTTGTTGTTTCGAGGACCCCGCTATCTTTCTTGATCTGAATGGTCACATGCTCAGGCTCCTCACAAAGGCAAATCTAGATTGGGCCACTTGTTTCTTTCGTGCACGTTTAACCGGTTGAAC